GCAATTGCAAATTTCCCAATCTGTTCTCCCCTACTACACTGGGTTGTCCAGCTTCATTCAAGCCTGCGAATAGCTGTTGCATATTAACAGACTGCTGTATATTGGCGGCAGCGGCCGCAGCTGCGGGTGTGGCCCCAGTCGTCGGCGCCGTTTGATTACCAGCTACCCCGACTGTACTAGGATCAGAATTTAGAGGAAGAGATACATTTGGGGCAACTACTTGTTGTCCAGTACCAACCACAGACTGTCCTGGTGCAGCTGAAACACAAACGGCATATGTTACTTTTCTCTACACCTACATGCCCATCATATCTTAAATGAAAGCTCGTGCGAATAATACTCCACACAGAATATTGCGAGACTTACTTTGCGTTTGAGGTTGCGTCAATCTAACACTTTGCAACGCCCCTGGTGGTGCTGCCATACCAGGTGTCGGCATCCTAACGCCCCTACCAACACCTTGACCGGGCAGCAGTCCCGGTGTCGTCGTCGGATATGGAATTCCTAGAGAGTCGCAAGCCCTTCTCAATTCCGCCGGGCTCGGATTTTGTTGATTATTTTGTTGGGCTGCGGGAGCTAGTGAACAAAGAAGTATATGAACATAGGCACTGACTATTTTATTCCCGTACAACAAGTTTCCCTAAATCACCTGCTGCGGGATTAGTCCTGTTCTTGTTCGCCTGCTTGATCGGCAAACAGACCGGACAATCGGTTCGCGTGCAATGTCTCCAATGACTTATGATCTGCCTAGACATGCTACAGTGTGGCACCGTGCAACTTTTGCCGGACTGGCAATTCGTCATGTGATTCAAGACGTTCTTCATAGTTTTGCAATCCGGCAAAGTGCACTGTCTAATCTCGCCGTTTGCTTGACTTTCGCGTCGTTGGCATTTGTGCGCGTGTAACAGGAGAACCAACTGCTGTTGAATGAGTCTACATTTTTCCGGGTCAGGCGTCGACTTTGTAGTGCCTGTAGAAAAATGGTCGTTAAATTCTAAGCAAATGCAGTAAGTTTCAGGAGAATCAGCCGACGACTGACCAGGTGTAGTAGCACCAGTAGCAGCCATTTGTCCCTGAGTAGCCTGCTGCGGGCCTGGCTGGCCTCCGCTCGGAGCTCCCGACGGCGGCTGGGCCGGACTCGGCGCGGGCGGCTGTGTCTGCTGTGTCATTCCGCTTTCTTGCCCACCAACGATATTAGTAGTACCGATAGGACCAGTGTTCCCGGTAAACCTACTGGCGGCCTGCATGGCAGTCATGTTTGTGCCCACACCCTTCTGTTGCGGTTTGACAACACCTACGGGATTATTGGCGCATACAGTTACTCCTGGTCCTGGCCCGTTATTTGGCGAACCTGTATTGTGAATTTTGTTTTCATCGTCTTAAGCACTACCTAGTAATTAGCGAAGAGTCATGCATTGTGATACGTACCGTATCCGTATGGACTGGATGTACCTATTTGCCCCATGTTGGGCATATTTGCCATGTTGGGTGGCGCTTGCATTCTGGGACCACCTTGACCAGGACCGACTATACCAACTTGATGTACCTGTTGGTGAGGGCTCTGACCTCTCGCAGGGCCGACCATGTGGGCCGCGGCCGCTGCCGCCTGCTGTTGCTGTTGCATCGCTACAGCCCTTGTATTTAACATCCCGGGGCCATTTTGCATTTGAGAGACCCCGTGAGGTCCGCTAGGATGATGTATCGCTTGAGTATTAGGTCCCATCATGGTTACCTTCAAAAGATCCGCCGGTTAGACTTGTCAATTCGTCGTTACGTGCGACAAGTATTAACTTACTGTATTCAGAGGTTGTTTGTTCAAACTGTTAGTTACTATCAAGCCTCCCCCGGCCATTCCTCCCATATTGTTGTTACCACTTGCTGTGCTAGTCATCACTAAGCCCGAATTCATGCCGCCCGACATGGACATCGCGGGGTTACTACCGGCCATACTCATAGACGACTGCAGACCACCCATCGAATTCGCGATGGACATTTGATTGTTAGCCAACGAACTGGCTATGCTGCTCGGTAAATTCCCAAGACTTACGACCATCTGCGGATCGACTACACCTTTAGAGACAGAAACGTTCGGCGGTGATTGCATGTTAGGACTTTTGCTGCCCAACGGTCCAGTCATTACCAACGAGTTTGCCACCAAGTTTTTGTTTCCCTGTTCAACGATCGTACGTAAAGTATCACTGACGCATCGACGATATACTATTGTGAAAAGGGGCTGATTGACGGTACTTACTTGTTGCTGGATAATGTGATGAGAGAGTTGTTGCTGCTGTTGCTGTACATGTTGCCTAAGTTCTGAGTCAAGAGCACCGTTCTGCTGCCCCGGACCGGGACCGGTCGCCGGTGGCTTGGTGCTCTCGGTTGCGGATCCCCAGGATCCGGACGACAGCAGGTCATCAGGAAGATCATTTTCAAGATCAAACATATCTGTGTTTGTTATGTAATCTGAGAATAAACACAGCAAAAGTGAAAATTATTTCCACATGTACATCATAATGATAGATATTTGGACTGGCTATCGGAAAAGTATATCCTCGAGTACATTTATGCGAATATATATAAAACGTGTACACACGCAACATATAGTATGCATTTATATTTTCCCTCACAGTTTTCAGCTTCACAATTTTCTTTTACTTTTCAATTGTTAGCTGTTAAAATATCATCGTCTACTGCTTCGACTAGATTTATTATAGATATACAACTTTTGGAGATAACCAGTCTGTACATTTGAATAATATGGCATTAGATATATGTACCATAGATACCAAGAAATAATTAGTAATTTTATAGAGTTAAGACTCAGCACCGTCACCATTATAGCTTTTATTTAGAGTATCAATATCTTAATACAAATGTTTGCTATCATATGTGCGTGAAGTGTTGTATCCCTATACACACACACACACACACACACACACACACACACACACACGTGCATATACACACACACACACACACACACACACACACACACACACACACAC